ATCATGCCTTTGATGCGTACCGGTGTTATGTGTAAACAGTTCTGATGATGATGAGGGAATCTTCCAGCCCTCTTTTTCAGTTCTACTTCCTGATGGGGCCTCTGGTTATCATGTCACCTCTGTGGGTAACAGGAATATTTTACTGGGCTAATACAGATTCAGTAAATGCCTTTGGTAAACAGCCATGTTAACTAGAATACCTCCAAGCACTGGGGGATGGAATGGTGAGCTGATAGCTGGTCTCAGCTCAGCCTGCTCTATCTTCAAAAGCAGTGGATTCTGCGTGGAAGGGAAGGGGATTATAAGGTGGACAGGAAAGTGGCTTCTTAGAGCCTTACTGTCTGTTATACCCTAGCTGAACATATTATTATGCAGTTGGCCTTTCGTATCTAAAATGTCGCAAAAAAGCAAACCAGTAAAGTTATACGATAACAACGGAATAAACATGTACATCTGAAATTACTTCTGAACTAAAAATTTCTAACACTGCAACAAAAAGTTGCCCATGAATCCATTAAAAATGTATAAAGAGCTGAAATAAGCAGCTGATGAACTGATTTGAGGGGATATATTCAATTACAACGGTATTCCAAAAATGTGGTTATTTTGCACAATATAATGAATGTTTAAAAAAAACTGACTGTGTTAACTATGTTTTTTATCACAGCAAATCCAATAACTTTGAAATTGAAAATATCTGCACTGACATTTTTGAGAGAGTAACAATTAAATTGTCTGACATTTCTTGGAAGAAAAATTATGAAAAAGTAATCAAACAAGATGTTATCATTTATACTTGTATCTGGGGGATGCGCTGTAAGAAACTTCAGTTGCCTTCTACATTCTTGATTTACCTGATGGTTTGGAAAAATAAAGCAGGTAAATGCAACCCCAACAATTACTGTGTCATTTATAGAATAAAAACTACTGTGGCTGTCAATAAAGGATTTAATGAGCGAGCCAGTAACACAACCAACAGCTAATTCAAACACACTTCATGCTACCTTTCCTGTCATAAATAAAGTCTTCAAATTTGACAACATGATTAAGTATTTCAAGAAACTATGGTTACAAGGTAGAACAAACGCAAAGAAAGAATCCTAATGTAGCCCATCCTAATTTATAGTGTTACTGTTTGCAAACACATTAACACACCAATGATTGAAATTCAGTTTCTTTTCTAAATGCATGACAACAACCACACCACCAACCCTACAGATATCCCATAAATGCTTCTCCTGTTACTTATTTTATAATTCAGTGTCATTGACAATTTATCTCAAAATCTGTGTAACATCAGAACGACAGCTCTGAGTTCTGATGATTTAAGTTTAAAAGACATTGGAAAAGTGATTCCTGTAAGTGTCACAAAAATCAGCAGGTGCTACAGGTCTAATTGATGACAGGATGTATTGGTGATGGTCATGGCCATTGATACAAAAAAAAAACATAATAGTAGCTAAATTTACTGGAAAAAGATCATCAAAATCCATCCATTCTTTTGCTATATCAGTTATTCCAAGCATGGATTCTGAAACCCATCTCAGCTGTCTCTGGGCAAAAGGCAGGGTATAACCTGGATAGGTTGCTGGTTAACAACCACACACAGAATTATTATAGCGAACACACTGTGTTAAATATCGTGCAGGACAAGATTCGTTTTCTCTTTAACTTTAGCGAGTGAAATTATGACCCAAGTATTGTCTATGTTTGTCTATGAGCTCCAAAGCTGTGTTGTATGTTCTTTAAAAGCTATCAAGTGTTTCAGGGCTTTGTAAAAGTAGCTTATTTTCAATTATGTTAATCTGTTTGGCTGCTCTCTTAACACATCCCATAGGGAAAAAAATTAAGCAAATTGAAGTGGAGTTGCTCAGTCCATCCTTTAAATTGGCAGATACAAACAAAGCTGTTTAGACAGAGTCCAGAAGGTTGCTGTGATTCTGTTCTGTGCTGTGGTCATTTCACCAAAGCACGTCACACATCTTCACAAGGATGTTGAGAAATATGTCAAATTGGTAAAAGAAAAGAAAAGACAATTTCTCCTTCAAAGATGAAATCAACTGATGATCTAAAATGCCAAATTAATCTATTTCATATAACAGCATTATCATTAAAGGGGGAAAAAAGTATTTTAAATGCACCGTTAGTAACTCAGAAGTCGGGTTAGATATTGAAAAGGAAAGCATGAAATTGAATAAATCTGTGGCTGTGATCAGTCTAGAAGTAGTTTTTTCGAATCAAATCATTTTTAAACTTTAAAGGTTCACTTGCATGACCGTGAATGTGAAGCTCATAGGTTTCAATGGGCCTTTGTCAGGTAGAAAGCTAACACAATGGTGCTTACTAAAAACAATACTTTGTAACACTGCCATTAACTAAAAATTGCATGATGAAACAAGTATAAATTAGAGAATATACCTGCATTTATTCAAATACTCATCAAGCAATTTAACTTTTTTTTCCTGTACAACTTCAAGCATGAAATCTCTAAAAGTCAAGGAGGTTTGAAACATAATTCGATTCTAATTTCTTCTGAACTCAATCTTGCTCCCTCTTTAGTAAACAAAGAGATAATAAAAACAACATGAGGACATCCCTGGCCTTTAATTAACAGGCCTAGATTATAAAGCTTGGATGTTATTTTCTCCAACAAGAAGTATTGTTAGTAGGTGTAAAACTACTTTTGGACGGTTTTAAATCTCGACTAAGACAATTTATTGGCATTACTGACACATGCGTTGTAGTTAATACAATCCCTCATGACACAGAACAATCTATTCCTTGTGACTAAGAACCATTCAGAAAATGTGAAGTCACATTTACTGAAAAGCAGCTTTGTTAAAGCACAATCTATTAGCACGTACTCCCTACTGACAATAACTTGTTTTGCAGTTGCCTGATAAATAAATCCTTTCACTGAAGAATAGAAATAACTCTTTAAAGCTGAAGCAACAGAGGTGTTCTGATTCCCACTTTTGTTTGAAACAAGTGAACTTACACATTACACTGTCAAGAAAATTATTCCAATTCAGAGTAGATTTTTGGTATTTTTCATTGGTTAAAATGGTCATTTGTAGCCAACCTAAATCCTGTTGTTGGCTTTTTGCCCAATAGATGAAAATCTTTCAGTTGAATTACGTAGTCTGTATTTTTTAGGACATTAGCCACATCTCTAACCTTCCAAAATATCTTAATGCGTTTATAGCTTTAGCTTAATGCATTTATAAAGAAAAAATAGGATATATATTTTTTTTAACTTTCTTTTTTTTGTTTTAAGAAATTACGGTCAAGTAATTAATTCACAGATTGGCATCTAATGAGCATAACGCCACCAGCGGCATTTAGGATAGCTACAATAATTGCTTTAACCCTAATGGGAATGATTGCTATAGATCTGTCTATCTTGACATTTCATCATGAACATTTTTACATTAAAAAGTACTAACTTTTCTCTTTGAACAGGCCTATTTTTAAGTAATTTCTTAGTAATAACACTCGTAGGCCACAAAAAAGTTATGAACGTTTGAGGAGATATGGAGACTACCATGCAAATATGTTCATAATTAATGCTGAAATGTAAAGCATGGTTTCTCATACTGGCCATGCTCATCTCTGTCAGGGGAGGATAGATTGGAGAAAAATATAGTTTGAGTTGAAGGAAAAAACAACTTGTATAGCGACATCCATACGTATAATGATGTAGATCCACAATCATTTCTTTGGACCTCTTTCTAAATGATTCAAACTCCATGTTAATTCCGTGGGTTTGCATGCATTAACCTGTTTACTACAGTTAGTGTAGCATTAGGTCATCTGGATGTGGAGCACAGCAAGCAGGATTTTTGTGACAGAAGGCACTTTGAAAAAGGAGATGTCGTAAATATCTTTGAGATGCGTTTCTGTCTGCATTGCTGCCTGATGTAAAAAGAGGGAAAAAAACAGTCGCACCTACGTGAGCCAGTCGACAGTTAATTTTACATGATCCCCATAGGGGATTTCGGTGATAAATCTGGTGCAGAGGTGAATTTTAACGACCGTACAAAACAGCCGAACAAACAAGAATGGGGGGGGTGGGTGTTGGTAAAATGTCCGTTTTTGTTTTTGCCAGGGACAGGCCCTCCGAATCCAAACACTGCGCTGAAATGGGTCCCTTTCGCTGGGAGAAAACCGTAACGCCCTAACCGTTCTTGCAAAAACACGGGGAACATGTGGAATAATAGGCCCGATTTCCTCTTACTGACACAGTAGCCGCATGCCGACATTTTAAGACCAATATTTCCGGTTATTTTCACCGGTGATCTGGCTACAAAAACGATTCACTGTCGGTATTCCGGCAAATCTTGATCAACGAGCATTTAGCGTAATAGTGGCCATTTGCACCATTTTTAAAAACTCACGTCATTCAGTCGAATGCCCTCGCCACCGCACCATGCTTGATTGGAGTAAATAAACAGATTTTTTTTGTTGTTGTTTTGAATGCCTAGCTTGTTTTCATTCTCGCTGAAGTATCTCCATCTTCAGGCATCGGCCGACGGCTCTCCTGTGCCTCGGTGCTGTTAAGTGTTTGGGTCAGAGGAAAAGTGATGTCATTACATGAAATCCCTGTTACCCGCCCTGGATTTTTTTCTCCTTTCTTTTCATTTTGAAACGACCCAAAAGCTTCAAAACACGTCTTCACTTAAAGGTTTTGATTTGTGTAATTAAATATTGAAATAATGCTGGATAAAACAGCTTTACTTAATTAGCAGCAGAGGAGAGCATAAAGTATGATGTTTCAGTGATGCAGAGAAAAAAGATTGACCACACTCACATGACAAAAAGTCGTAAAATAAACAAAAATTAGCTTAAATTGCCTTCAGATCATTAAATAAAGGGTCATTTTTATCTTCAAACGTCACTACATTTAAGGATAAATGGTGCTTTTGGAAAGGAAATGGTACACAATGCAATGACCAAGTGCAGAAATCAAACTGTAACATGGCAAAAACTTCAATAAAAAGCAAGAAATGGTAAATGTTAGAAAAGCCTGTCATAAATTACATGAAATTTTATAGAGCTACATCAATCATAAGGGTTCCTTTAATGACCAAGTGAATGTTAATGTTAATTAAAGTCCAGTATATGAGTAAACCAAAAAACATTTGTGTCTTTAAATGGTGCTTGCTAGCTTGAAAGGAGTTGTAGCAGACACTGTAAGGGATTTCTTCAGTCAGTTTTTTTTGTCATTTCGTCTTTATTTTCAACTCTGGCATTTTAAGAGTGGACAAACATGTCTCTTCAGGTGAAGAGAATCAGCTCTCAAGTGACAAACTCTGCACCAGCTACAACTACATTTAGCCGTAACTGGGGGTAAATTATAATTATATAACTAGGCTTTCTTTGAGGGACTTCATCAAGGAGCATCAACTGTTCCACTGTCGATGTCTTGAAGCGAATTGTCAATGGCATTGCCTTCACGTCCGGCCACCTCTGAAACGACCTGAGGAGAAGAATGACAAGTTGATATAGATCGTCCCAGAATCAAACCTGAAATTGAAAATTGAAAGTTCTTTCATCAACTTGCTTTAGTAACTTATATTTGTGCATCTTTGCTTTCAACAATTTCTGATCACACATGTTGTACAGACGTGCTGGAGCAGTAGAAAACAGTTTTTCTCATCAACATACCGAAATAAGGATGACTACTATCATGACTGCGTTGAAAGAACTGTACATATAGGATGTATCCACTGTTGTCACGAGCATTCAAATGTGCTCTTTTGGTCAGAGGTATTATACTGATGTTATTATACTATGTTATTTTAGCCTGTACATACTTTGATGTGCTTCAGTTATCAAAAACACTGAATATTATCTTTAGACATCACCAGTATCAAATGGCGCTTTTCCACTAGCGCCTACTCGTTGCGGCACAGCACGGGTCTACATGGTATTATGCATTTACACTAGTGCCAAACACCTACTCAGCTGGGGTTCCAGCATGAACGACTGGGGCTGACGACAGACTTCTGGACGCGAATTGGCCCGAGAGTTGCATGATTAGATCGTGTCAAGGTATATACCAATTTTAAAACCCGGCAACTACAAATGTCCGTGTTTAATAGGCAAATAGTTGTCCTTCGTTGTTGTTTCAAGCTTGTGTCATGTATAAATGACATTGCGCGCCAGTCCACCCATCTTTCTGTTCAGCCATTATTTGTAATCGATAACCACCTAAACGATGCAACTGTACCGGGCCGAACCATGAAGGGCTGAGTAGGTACAAATAAAATGTTCCAAAAGTGTTGTAAGACTGGCAATGTAGGCTTTTGGAACAAGTCAAGTATAAACAACCATTCCACTTGAGAACCTAAACATGAGACCTCAATTAGGGCCATGTCTGTTGATGTGGCATTCAAAGTAGAATATAAAATCATTTGATAAGTTCAAAGGGCAACTTTGAAATGCCCACATTGGCTAAAACCTGTTTAGCTGTTATTTCCAAACAACACAACAATGGATGACATTTTTCTTAATTTCTCTTGTGCAACAGGACTTGCATTTGGTGCAATGATATGTTTGAGACACAAGTCAAGACAGAAACTTAACCTGGTCATCCATGATGGCATCAACATCTCGCTCTGAAAGGTCATGTCCAGAGGTGTCCATGTCCTGGTCTGGGTCCTCTCCTGTCAGGATGTCCATTGGGGCCTCAGCAATGGCTCTGATGGTCTGATCCTCCAAGGCAAGGGCTGTGTCAAATTGCAGAGGGGATGGGGGACCCTGCATACCATCCCCTTCAACATCCAGGTCCTACATAACACAGATGAATTCATCAAAAATATTTAAACTTTTCAGGATCATAAATATATTTTTAAGAATTATATTGAAGTGTTACAGGCTGTTTTAATCACAGTATTCTGATATATTCAAGGTATAAGACATTCTCATTTGGTTCATTCATAAAGCATTAAGTGGACACATATGCCAAATAATATCCTCCATTAACTTTGCAACACTGCAGTATTTAAAATGAACACTCTATGACATCGAAGTACCAAAAACAGATTGACTTATTTTAGATCCCATGATAAAATATTTATATACTCATTCTACTGTGAAAACAACAAGTCTCCTATTCAATCACATCTGTTTTAAACTGTACATCTTTAAAATACGAGTTTGGCCATACAAATGTTGAGCATTATACTGTCTTCTCAATCAGAATTTTAGTTTTAGTTCTGTTGGGTAAAACCCAACAAAACTATTCATGGCATTTTAGTCTAATTTACCCATAAAGATGTATCCATTAAAACAAGCCGTTGTCTACAGTGATTATAACACTGTAAACCTAGCGACTTGGCTTACGAATATTCTTCACAGGCCTCAGTCATAAATTCTGCCTTAGTTTGTTGTCTGATAAACACAAAAAAAAGGTACAAAAAGGCTTTATTGGTATTTCAGCTGTATTAAAATATAGTAAACAGTAAGAGACTTGGCCTGACAGTAGGCAAAATGCAATTCATATAAAATATAGTCTGCATGCACACTTTCATTCTAAATTACCAACATACAGAATCTTTTATCCCTAATGATTAAATATGCTAGCTAAAAACTAAATATTGGCCTTTGACAAATGCACGTATAGAATCATTGCATCCACTTTCACACCATCGCATCTTTGGTTTGACCTAACAAGGAAAATGTCCAACAACATAGTTTTAACCATAATTTGTGCTTTTAGGTAACAAGACATTTAAGGGTAACTGAGCTACAGTAGCTCAGTTTGGGTTCAGGTTTAGTTCAGGTCTGTTGTTCAGTCCTTTTGGAACTAAAGTCAAAGTTAAGTTATACAATATGACCAGGTAAAGGATAATATTACCCCTTTATTGTCTGTAAAAGTTCTCAACGTTTTATAACGTTTCCTAAAGAAATGAAAAATAGGAAATAAATCAGTGTGAAGCGGTTGGAAGGAGATTTCAGTAGCTTAAGATCAATGTAAACTGAAAGTGATAGAAGTTAAAAGTATCCTAGGAAGAAAAATTGATATAGCAATGGAGTAGCGAAACTAAAGTCTACCAAAGAAATTCAGTGAGGAGCAACTTCTCCACTGAAAGCTAAACACAGCAGAACCATTACCAGCAGAAACTACAGTTTGACAGTACAGGAGTGCTGTTAGCACAGTTATCCTTACACACCATTTCTTTCCAGGGCTCAGCCCTGTAAATAATTATAAAGGGAGGCAAGACTGATGCAGCAAAAGTGAAAATGATTCCTTTTGTCATTTTTCCATAAAGAATGGGAAATGGTAAATAATCATATATCTTCATATGCAGGTTGGTCTAATTTGTTTTCTCCATGAGAAATGTTATGTCTCCAAATACAAGCTGAGAAAATGTGAGCAGACCTTTTCCTTCAGTCATGATTGCTGAATTTGTAATGGAAAACTTGATTGTCCTTCAAGGTATTTTTATCACTGTGATCAGAGCAGATTAACAATGACCACAGTATCTGACACTGAATGGCAAGTTTATCTCTCTCAATTTCAAACAAAATATACCAAAGCAAAAACACGCTTTGAATAATGTATGTCAGTTAAAGGGAATATATGTTAGGAGGACCGATCAAAACATTATTTCTACATACATCACTGAATTCGAGGGGAAGACTCTCTGTGGGCTGAAGCTCTGCTGCACTCAGATACAGGTCTTTACTTGCAGGGGTGAACTGCTGCTGTGGTGGAGGTTCTTGCTCAGGCTGGTACATGGGTGGAGGTAAAGTGAGGTGGAGCTGGCATCGAGGATCATCAGACTGACCCATGTGCACAGTACGGTCACATGGGACATCTTTTAGCCCTGGACAAATTTTGAAAAGCACCTGATTGCTGTCCTGATAGATGTCTGAGTATTATTTTGTAAAGGAGAATTAACAAAAAATAAATACATTTAAAAAAAAAAAAAAGATTTCCACATCGAAAAAGGCTAAACAGAGCACATTAGAGGAAAAATGTTTGCTCTTATCAACCCCCCCAATTCTATCCCATGGAAATCAGTGACTGCTCCCTTAATCTCTTAGAAAAAAATATTATCTCCCTGGGGATTCATGCCACGTGTCAAAAATATTGTCTAAGCAAACATTTGTTGTAGTTTGTTTTTTAATATTTCCTGTTAAAAATTCAACAGTTAAGCCTGAGTGCAGCTACTCATAAAACAAGCAAACAAAAAGTTATGATGGCTATAGATACTAGAACACCTTTAATTACAGAAAAACACTGAACAAACCTATTGTAAACCCTACTAAATGAACAATATCAAAAGAACTATAGTACTTTAAATGAGTAAAGGTTGAGGTCAAAGGCAGTTGGGAAGAGATTTTGTTCCTCCCAACTGAATTGATTAATCCCCTTTGTAAATCTGGGGGGGGGGGGGGTCAACAGAGCACAGGACCAAAGTTGCTTTTGATTGGGGCAAAAGATGAAAAAACAAAAAAAACAACAAACATGGTTATTGGTAGTTCTAGTAAAAGATTGAAGTAGAATGTAGATATCTAAACAAATGTGGTGTCAATAACTCATCTGGGAATTCTTGTTTGAAAACAGATGTTCCTTAAGGATACGAGAGACACAGTGTCGGGCCATTGGGAGACAGGAATTGGTACATCTGGTTCCCTCCACAAAGGAAATGCATTTTTCGTTTTCTGTTCTTGAATAGAGCTATAACACAAGAAAGTAAGGGTTAGACTGAAAGCTTGACACAGAACAACTGGAATGTATCCAAAACAGTAAATCAATTATAAACTAAGATTCTCCTAAAGAAATGCAGAACTATTTTTTTCAATTCAAAATGTCAATACCAAAAGTGTGTTGTTCCATATTTCAATGCATAAATCAGTATATGTATTAAACTACAGACTAACTCCACAAAGTTAGATAGTAATTGTGAACATTTGCAGGTATGCTTGCTGAACAAATGATCTGGGGATCTTAAGACAAATGGTTAATGGACTACACTTGTTTAGTATTGTGCAGTATAACAGTGTTTCCCAACCCCTGGAAACACTGAGAAACACTCTCAAGGTACACTATCCTTCATGTTTTCTGAGTTTCCCTACTGACCCTCTGTTTTGTTAAGCTTGAGACAAACTGTAAAAAATTCACATGAGGTAAAGTTACTGAGCTGATAGACTGAGCTTTAGAAAACTGAAGCTTTTTCATTCATTTGAATAAAGGGTCTTACAAGTTTTACCACTGTACTTTTTACATACCTGTGAAGGTCCTTCTGTAACAGCCTGCCTTCTCTCCCTGAGCTGGCGATGCAGCAAGGCCTCTACACCATACCGACGACGGTATCGGCGTAGAGCTTTGAGCTTTTTTAGGTTCTCTCGTTCCTTCATGGACAGACCTTCAGACCCAGTCAGCAGACTGCTTCCTTACATTAGCATAAGTAAAACATACATTGTAAAAGCAAACCGTGAAGGATATTTTGCACTTATTTAACCTGTGGTTAGCTATGTGTTCACCTAGGGCTTCATGCTCCACTTTACGATTATGCAGGTATCTGCGTTTCTTCTCTTTGAGCAAGTGCTGGAGACGTTTGAACTGGTCAATGTAGAGGGATTGGAGCCTAATAAGTTTTTCTCGAGTGATCAATGCCACTTCCTCAGATGTGTAAACTCCTGCATGCCTGCAAACATCAAGAAGGATAACTTTTAGGCCCAGTGTCTTGTTTTTAATTCATACAGTCATAATTATTTATTTTAATGAATAGGTAATGAATAAAAATGCTTCAGGGTTTTTATACTTGTATAAACTACATCCTTTCCATATTTCAACTGCACAACCTTAATCTCTTTAAACAAAAGGAAAATTTTCTATAATAAACACAAAAAAAGAAAATATAAAATTCATGGTTAAAAGCAAATAATCAAAGTGACAATATTTCAGCTTGGATATGTTCTAACAGGTCAGCTTACTTTAGAGGATCCTCATGATCACTGTCAATACTGTCAGCCTCGCTGTCAGGATCACCTCTCCACGTCTGGTCCAATACAAAAGGTCCCTGCTCTTCCTCACTAAGACTGTCCTCATCTGCCACAAAGGTCAATTGTTGGACAAAAAAAAAAAATCATCCATATATAGACATTGTATAGTCACAGTCATGCCGTAACTTTTCAATACAGCAATTATTAAAGAATCAATGTGTATTAGGCCTTTTACCCAGAATACGACTAGTTTCAGAGTGTCCTCCGTCAAAACCGTGCGTTTCTGCACGGTTGTAGCCACTGAGCTGAGACAACAGAGCCTCTGGTGAAGGACCAGAAGATGTCTTTCTCATCTGAGCTCGAAGAGCTATTGCATTCCTGCGAGCGTGCTCTGCACAGAACGTTACTCTACAAAAAAAGTATTAACATAAAATGTTCACGTGAACGCATATAGCGAACAAAATCAAGCTTGGTCATATTGAATGTTTGCAAACAGATGAAACAGAGTCATTGCACCTACCCATCTTTCCTCTCAGCTTTCGGGGCAGCATTGGGGCAGCGCTTGCCATTCTTGGCAGAGACATAGCTACAATGCTTATACGGTGCGTTCTTGTCTTCCAGAATGTGTTTGATACAGAATTCAAGACCCTCGAGGCGAGGCTGGGAACATGGTCGCTGGGCAAAAGAGCAGGCCTGGGGCTCCTGAGGTCTGGGTCCCTGGGTCATTCTGTTACGACTTGACGGCAAAACGTGTATTCGAATTCTGTTCATTTTAAGTCTGCAAAATAAGAAGAAAGAAAAAAAAATTAACTGAATGGATTTGTCCAGAAATTTTTTGCCAGTGTAATATATACGATATCCAACTAGATTTATCTTCTGTTTTTCATGGAAAACCCAGAAAAAAACAACACAAAAAATACAATATAATACATTTAAAAAACCGTTGCAATTATCTTTAACAAATATAAAAAGTAAACAAAATAAAAAGACTAATTTTCTGTCTTCTGTGTACAAAATTATACCAAGTTACAGCTATTTTAAAAACAGATCCCTGCCTCCATTCTTCAAATAATTTTTATTAAAAAAAAATCTTACATTACCATTTCCACACTAACATATTGCTAGTAGAGACAATTTATGATTATTCTGTTAATCAAACAAGATTATCAAAATGGAAGAACTGTCCAAAATTATACCAAAGACAGCTATTGTGGTAAAAGAAAATGATGCAAGATGAGAGCAACAGCATTAACTGTTCTCTGAACTTTTTATGTCCTTTTTTTCAAGCCTCCAGCTGGTTATACTCATTCTCTTCCACAAACATCTTTTTGTCTTTTTCCACTTGGTGGCTCAGTTTTTGCTCTACAAACACACAGGTTGCTGATGTATTGCTTTTTGCTGAGGACCAAGCCATTAAGTCAATGAACTGTCAAAAAGTGTGAAATAGTCAAGTTTTAAATGTTTTTATTTCCTAGCCCTCAAACAAGATATATTGCAAAAACCACAGCATGGCTTTTCACTGCTGAATTGTTCTCTGAAGACAAAGCTCCTCAACATGGATGGGATCGGCTGTTTGTCATCACAGTTCAACAGCACAAGGGGTGAACACAACTACCTCAAGCATATTTATTAAACCCCCCATGTTCTTTCAATTTTTTTTCAAGATTATAATAAAATCAGGAATATAGAATTGGTATTGCAGTCTTTGAAACAAGCTCTATAGTGACGGATTAGTCAACTAGTTGTCAGAAGACAAAAACAATCCGCGAATCCATTCTCAGTTTATCCTTATCAAGTTTAGCCCTTATCAGTCACCTAAATGATGTGCAAGTCTTTTTGTGACACTTGTGTTTGTGTGCAGTTGAGATGAATGCAAATTATTGAAATATGTGTTATCATTTGAAGTCAATTAACTAGAAATCAGATGGTGGGTTTGGTGTGAGGTAAATTAAGCACATGTAGAAAGAGGCATTTTTGTCACTCAACTGGCTGCATTTTTTTTTACATTAATCCAGACATGCAAAGAAATGTCAGTTGAAGAGATCTTTGAGCCTGAAAGTATTACATTTGACAATGAGCATCAGTTCAGCTAAAAACAAATATATGCCTATATCCTCTTTTATTTTTTGTAGCGACCATTGTTACCTGAAACATGTAGGTCATATCAAAAAGCAAGACCATGTGTTCATATGATTAACATTTTTTTCTAACCGATGTTTTCCGTTTAATCTCTAATAACGACATTAAACGTCTAACTTTAGTGAGAATAAGCGTATGAAATGTGTAAATGTACAAATGGTTCACTTACTAGGTAAACAACAGATCTAACTATGAATTAAAGCTCCATAAAAACTTCGTGCCGTGCTATAAAACAACACAAGTCCGTTAATTATTTTCCACGTTAACTAATGTTAGACAGACAGGGTCGGGTAAGATGGCTTCTCCGTTACAATACACTCTAGACTTTTATTTGTCAAAAACGTGTATGTTGTAGACATCATACAAAAATAACCATTAAAAAAAAACATCAAGGTAAAACAGTGACTAAGAACATAGCATATCTCTGTCTCGTTTAACTTCAACCACGCGCTACGTATAGTTTAGCCCGCCTCTTTTTTGTTGCGTCACTGCTTCAGTTAAAGAGGTGCCATTTTTGTTTAGCTGATAACAAAAGTAGCTAACCGCTTATTTTAATAACCCATACCCTAAAACGCGTACTTCCTCACCAATAGCCCAAACAGTCACTTACTTGGATATCAAATAAACGACTAAACAGCAGAAAAGGGATAACCTTCCTGTCTTTTGTGAAAGCCAGGTTACCTTTCCTCGTAGTCGGTCGACCAACCGGAACAAGCTCAAGCACAGTATGGTGATTTTGTCTGCATTCCCCGACTCCCTCTGCAACAGCCTCACAGGCATAAAACTAATCCCGCCCCATCAGCACTCTCATTGGCCACAAGGTCTCATCTCAGAATAATCTATTGGCCAAAGTAACTGCTTATCAAAGTGTCCGCAATCTGATACGCCCGTAAAATGGAAGAGGAAAAATGGCCAAATTTTCTTAAAATATTTATTGACTTTCAGAATAAAGCAACCACATAATATCAAAAAGAACAGTGCTCACATGTAACTTGAAAAAACAAAAACCCAAACGATTTATTTCCAGACCTGAGTGTCTATAAAAACACCTTTACATGAAGAAAAATTTAACTTACGATCATAGCTGTGATTTTTGCATTGTTAGGTTGCATGAGTGTCGTCCTTTATCACATATGGTTTTAACATGAAATGTGTACTTTTATTTACCTTCTCACAGCATGTTAACACTTGAATTGAAATATTTGCCCATTTCAAATAATGTGTTGTAAAAGTATCAATGATATATTGGAAACCTATTCTAGTTTAACCATTATAAATGTAACACTTTTTAAACTGCGCCGTAAGCAAATCTAAGATAAATATTCAGTGCATTCAACATTTCCCTGTTACAATAAAGAGTTGAACTAAAAACCTCTGCTGCCTGAGCATAGGGCATTTCTTATCCAGCATACTTTTTTTAAAATCAAGGGAATAAAAATAAAAATATTTCACAATTTTATGGCTGATTTGTTGCACTGCATTACTGTAAACTGCCTAATATGTTTTAGACCAAATTAAAGAAAAGCAAATTAAGAACAATAATAGTACAAAATCAAACTCATATAAAACTTAAAATGAATGAAATGTACAATACACCCAATTTCTTGCCATCAATAGAATCCATTCTGCAAATTTGCTCAAACGTGAAATTTTAACATTCATTATTGGACTTCATGCTGAGGATCCTGAAATGGAGGTATATCAATAGCTTGTTTGCATCTATGATTTCATAATATTACAGAAAACATGCAAAGAGATACAAGTAATTTGTGGATGGACTATAAACATCTTAAGATAAATATCTGACAACTTTGAGGGTTTAAACCAAAAAAAAGAAAGGGAAAACTTAAGCCATATTCACTAGAGAAATTGTACCTCTGCGATATCTTTCCCAAACTGAAAAAACGGGAAATAATATATATGTATTTATATTGTGTATTGTTAATGCTCCTTTGTATCCAATTTATTTCCCCACATTTTCCCTGGTCATTTAAAATGACACTATAGAGAAAACAAACCCAAAAATCAACTTTTTTTAAAAATAAAAACAATTTTCATTCTTTTTTTTTTTTTTAACGGGGAAGTGTTTCCTCATGACCATATTGGACGCATTTAATTATATATTGTACAGATAGATGTTTTTCCTTGGTATGAATTTAGTGTATTTACCAGACACCTGAACATGAATACTTTACAACCATTTAAAACAATGACTGCAACACTCAAAGCCTGAAAAAAAAAAAGAAGCAAATCTGTACTGCTCCCCCATCCCCCCATTTCACTCCCATGACAAATGTAAACAAAATATTTTGTTTTGAATGATTTACAATATTTGTACAAGATAAAGAGATAATTAAACAAATTGGACTGGGTGTGGTGTTTTTTAATAAATTCAGATTCTTTCTTTTTTTTCCGTAAAAAGAGAGAGCCCCTCCAAAAAAAAATGTACAAATGTAAAGATGGCTTTTGGAGACATGCACTCTCAAAGGAGCCTGTACAGTCTTGATGATGATGTTTTGCTTTACCCCAACAGAACAGAGGGGAACTCTAAAAAAAATGTAGAAAGAATAATGTAATAATGTTGCCTTTAAAAGCAGTCAATAAATAAAAATGCTATAAAATCATTATAAAAGGACAGTTGGTAAGAGGGCATAAAAGGTGTATGAGCAGAGTTTAAATTTCATTACCATTTGAGGACAATGAATTTTTCTTGATCAAACTCTCTATATTTCTATATATTATCATGATAGCCTTTCATTTCAATGGAACAATAATGACAAAGAGGTTATCTACACTTATCTACAATTTCCTTTTTTCTCCTTCACATTTTGAAAATTTTAACCTCATAATTGCCCCACTAGGTCTTTAAAAAGAAAAAACTAATTGCACCAGTACTTTTTTTTGCTATCCCCCTGAAGCCTACAAAAATTCCATTGTAATACAATACTTTATGTAACAAGGTGGATGTTTGTTATGTCAAGTATGATTTACGTATTCTCATCTCCTGCTCATGGGAATCATTTAGGTAAGGGTGGAAGCGGAGGAGGTGGTTCTGTTGGGAGAGGTGGGGGCCTGGAGTTGCTCCCCCTTGAGCCACCAGAGTACCGATAGTCCCCATATTGAGATCTATATTCAAACATGGACGGCTGGGATGGCTGGACCCCCTGTGCACTTAAAAGAGAGTTTAACATTTCAAAAGTGTCCTGGTATTCATTTGATTGGGTCCCACCAGCTGCACTGTGCCCATTAGTGTCTGTCTTGTCATTTTTGGAGTGTGAATAGGTCCCTTGATGGTGGGAAAGGCCCAAAGTAGGGAGAAGATCAGAACCATGTGGCAGTGTTTGCCCAGACGAAGAAGACAAGGACGGTAGTTGGTAGGGATTCCGAGACGACTTGCTGACTTTGGATACTGAGTGTGACCCTGGTGTGGGATCTTGGGAGTGTGTCCTCTTTCGGGAAATTGAGGATGATGAAATGACCGTCCTAGAGGACTCACTTGAAACTTTTTTGGAGGTCGCTAGAGCCCCACTTGAACTAGAGGAATGTTTGTGTGAAGACGAAAGAGAGGCACCGCTAGAGGAGGAATGGTGATGGTGGTGGTGGTGATGGTGATGATGGTTAGATCGTTCCCGATGCTTATCCCTACTCTTACTCTCCTCTACGGAATTCCCCCTCTGTTTTTCAGGCACTCGTATTCTGACTTTGATATCAGGATCCTGACTTCGGGCACTGCCACTGTGTCCACTACTGCTTCCACTGCTTCCTCCTCCAGCGACAGGAAATCGCACTTTAATAGGCCTCTCCTTTTCTAAGGGAATTTTAAGAATAATGGGTGAGGGGTTGGACATGTCTGAGGAGGAGGAACCGGACTGCTGGTGATGATGCTGCTTCTCTTTCCTCTGCTGCTGACCAATTAATGCCTGCGCTGCGTTGGCATATTCTCTCTTTACGCTGGCTTCCATGTTTTCAAGCTTCCTTTTCTGAGCAGCCAGGACATCAGCATTCTTGGCACGGTACTCACTTAATGATACCTTGGCTGGGGCATGGACCTCATTGTTGGGTTGCTGCTGCTCAGCTCCAGCCTGTCCTTTTCCACTCCAAGTCGGAGCACTACCAGGTGTACTCCTGTCCTTTTCACCCACAGATGAAGAGGAGGAGGAGGAGGCAGATGGTGGAGCTGATAGACTCATCAGGCCTGCAACAGTACTCTCTGACGAGGCCATGGAGATCATGCTGATCATAGTATCCCTCTGGTCACCCTCCTCCTGGACTTTTGGTTTGGCTTTTGGTGTCTGACCTCCAGCCTAGATACAAAGAAACCAGTTAAGTTCATTTGTATACACATTCACGCGATACTGGAAGATCTGCAATTTCATATAAGTGGGAAAAAAACTGTACCTTCCAGTTTCGAATTCGTTTAAGACGACTGGGAGTTTTCTCCAAGATCTGCAGGAACTCATGTGTGAGTTCTAAAATAGGCAAAATAAAGTTAATATGACAATTATTCACCATCAGTTTCATCTCAAACTTATGTGTGAATGTATTGTCTGCTTAACTAAATCATATAGTGAGTTATAGCACATACCATCTAACAACTCGAGGGTAACTGTGGCGTCAACATACTCCCACCAGTGTTTGCCATCTGTAGATACAGGAATTTCCCAGTTTGACCACTTGCAGGCAAGATGGATGCACACGCAGGCCACTACAGGTGGACTATACTGCAGGCAGAACGTGGTCAAATGCAGACTATGTGGCAGGATGCGCCCAGGACAGCAAAGAAAAAATAAATAAAAAGGAAGGAAAAAGAAGAGAATAGCATTCAGGGCTGGGAAACTTTAGGATTCACAAAAACAGTGACATTTATATATTTAAAATATTGATAAAAATAAGACAGTGGTGGTGTATTATTGCCACATAGTGGTCTTAAAAAGTAAAATACAGTAGTTTTAAACTGTATATATACCTGTTGGTGGCCATAAAATATGATGTTTGTGCCAAATCCTTACTGGCTGGAATAACAATAGAACAAAGAAAAGAACTATAAAACCTGCAAAATAATCATTTCAAATGAATACATCAAAATCTTACTCAAATTATGAACATTTTTCTCTTGAAAACCAAGGACATGATATTCACCTCTGACGAGCTGAGTGCACTTGACAACATGAGTGTGAGGATGATCAATTGTGATTTCAAAGGCTGAAATAAAAAGAGGACAAAAAAGCTTATATTAGTAAAGTGAACGCTAGATGAAAGATGCAGGCTTTAATAAATCCAGTTTCCATGGAACTCTTACAATTAAAATCCTTGAAAAACAGAAAATGACCATTATAAAACTAACTTAAGCAGTTATATGAAACGTTACTTTTTATGAGGAAGCACCACAGACAACAATTTTCTTTTTTAAATAGACACAAAAACCAGTGATGTAATGTCTGCAAAATTATTTCAAGGTGTTCCCTGTCCCAGTGTGAAAAGTCAGGAACATGACAGAAATAAAAGTGCTGCAACAACAAGTAATTAAGCAGTGGAAAAGCACATCTAATATGAAGAATGAAAGTCATTTTCAAGGCTGCTAACCACATTTGGAGTTTCTGTGAATGAAAAAAATTTAACAGGTTAGCTCTATGGGTGTATAGGGGGATATAAGGTGACCCAGCTCTTCCTTCCAAACTTACCCAGGGTCTGGAGAATTATGCTCTCAAGAATGACCAGGTCTTGGGCTTGTTGCAGGTAAGTCTGAGGTTGAGAGGATAGGCAAGTTACTTACTGGGAGGCCTCTGAATGTTGTCAAGCAATAGTAAGTGGACATGCTATGTGGCTTAATAACGTCTGGTCATTCATCTGAAAAGCTTTCATTGCTCAAATGTAATTTACAGGTGTTCATGTTCAAAATAATGAGAGTTCTTGTTTTTCTTGAAGAGCCAAAGGAGCCTGAAAGATAAACGATAAGAGCAAGCAGCAACTACAGATGCTCCAATTTTCCAACTGCAAGACATCAGATTACCTGGATGACTAGAATGTACACAGACACAGATAAATGGTCTGTTGGTAACCTTAAAATGCTTAATCGAGATTATGTGCCATGAGATAAAGCATCAGTTTAGAAGAAAATTAAATTTATTGTCCTAATTTTCAGCATTGCAATTACCTAAAAATGTAAAAGGGATGAGGAGATTATGATGAGCATCGAAAAAATTAGTGAAACATAAAAGTTTGAAGTTCAGTAGACAGCCCACTGAAGTATAGGAATGCTATGAAGATTATTGTAAAATTACCATTTCACAAAATAAACATGAATGTACAAAAAAAAAAAAAAGTTTCTCAACATCAGCCGGTCAACTGGGCTACTTTACACAACTTACATCACTGCGCACATCTGGCGGAGGGTCTTGAGGATTGAGGCATGCATGTGCCACCTTTATGACGTGTTCTAACTTTCGGGGCTGCTCCTCAACTTTAGCAGCAAGGAATAGAGCGGCGGGAGAAATAACCTGAGGAAGACAAAATAGATTTCAGTTACTCGATATGTGGGCAGCGCGGGGGCAGTATGTCATATGAACAAAATATTACTTACATTTCTGTGAAATCTTGTGAATGACTGGATCATGTAGAACCGGTGCATGTACACAATGGCAGTGTTAATTGTTAGTTGAGATCTAACATACACCAATTAAGGGCAATTTGTAAATTAGCGCAAACGTAACGAAAAACTCTCATTAAGAAAATACATTGAAAATAATTGCAACTTAAATGGTATGTTTAAACTACATGCCGATTAACACAACCTAGTTCACGTATTTAAAACAAACAACATTGCAGTTTTACCAGATCGGCAAAACAACAACTAAGTTTCATTCTCCTGTTAGCTCAACATATCAAGAAATTAGCCGGAAGAAAGATATAACACGTGATAAAGGAAGCTCCACACGTAAAACGTTTGTCTGCAACAAGCTATCTAAAATACACTAGAGCATACCACTCGGTTTGATGACATGTTGATCTATTCTGTAAGTTAACTCGGCATCTTTAAAGAAAAGGCAAAGCTAATGCTAACGCGATACAGGCCCGTCGACCATGCAGGCCTTCTTGGCCCCAGCTCGCTAGTTATGCCAGTGTCAGAAAACGTTTACAAGAAAAGGTAGACTAATTGCCAACCGCTGCGTGAAATAAAGGGGAACACATTAAAACAAAACAACAAGTCATTGAACGAAACACAACAACAAATACCGGCCACGCTATCGGTCAAGCCGGCTTCAAGAAAAGCTAAACTTCACTGGGTAGCTAGCTAATGTTGGCTACGTGCGACAAGCCACGACAAAAGATACACATTGAGCCGCTGTCCCATGTCCTGAAGGAGGTTTGCCGCCTGTTGTCTGTAGGACAGCTCCTTGTCTGGATCAAGCCCAGCTCGCCGAGATGGACTGCTTTCGATTTGTTGTCGGGTATAATACCATTTGTTATTACAGCTTACAGGGAGAGAACGAAGCGAAGCCGCCATCACTGAGAAGGACGAGAGTTTAAAATTTCTGCGCGTCACAGGAACCTACGTCACTAAACCTAGAGGTCTCTGCTGCTCCGCCGATCACAAACAGGCCTGTTCAAGATTTCGACATTTCAGGAGTCTACGAATAATTTTGAGTGCCTTTAAAGATGGGATCCCTTTTTACTAATATTTTTGCACGTGAACTTTAAATTGAAAAGTGTGTCTGATTTAGTTTTGCTTCATTACTGAGATTTTTATTTTTTCACTGTGGCAACATTGAGCTTTGTTATTCTGTTATAGATCTAACCAAATCTATATTTTTAATTCATTAGAATAACATATGAAAAGGTACAATCTTTTAGCTGATCTTTTACCATGCTGTTATATTTTTATTAACCCATTAACATGACAAATGGGCAATGGGGCTGCTGTATCTGGGACACCTGGCATCTGAAACTATTGGCTGTATGAAACATCTGATCTATCTCTTTGAATTTGTCAAGTCTTACATAAATAATGCAGAGCCCCTTTTCCAAAAAACTAAGGTCAACAAAAACTCTACCTAGGTAATTTGTTTGAAGCATAAGTACTTAATAAATTGGCCATACCTTTTGTACTTTCAGCACCTACACTACTCACAATAAGTTATGGACATTGTGAGAGACTCAGTTGATTTCATTCATATGATGTTTGTTTCACTTAAGAGATTTTTAGGATAGAAAGGCAAATGTATTCATGATTCAAACAGCCTTGAACCGATGGTGTCACTTAACAGACGAGCAGTACCACCTTGGTCAAAGAGCTCCTTCGGGTTGGTGGCAGGCAGTCAGATGTTGCTTGTGAACATGGTGTGTCTAAAATTGTCCTCAGTAGAAGACACAGAAAAACTGTATGAGATCATGACATACCCAGCAGTTGAGCCCCATGAGTGACAAACCGCAACGATGACTAGTACCCAAGGACATATCTCTGAAGATTCTCTGTCATCCAGGTCATGATCAGGCTTGAAAGTTCAGTTAGGCAACAGGA